CCCTCAACTCCCCCAAATGGCTTCTCATCCACACACATTTTCCCCCCTCGTTTCTCTGTGTGTTCTTTAATAAAGCTGTGTTGTGTTGGTGTCAATGGGCTAAGATTGTGTGTGCACACTTGAATGAAACATTGAGGGTGTTAACTGTTCGTGATTTTGAGTGCTGTGTAAACTTGTATTCTTACTGTGGAATTCAGACCAACAAAAAAGAAATTAAAATAAAGAAAAGAAATGAACCAGTAGCCTTTGTATTGAATCAGTAAGTTGAGGTAGGTTTAAATTGGGGTCGTAGGTTTGTTCTTTAATACAGTAATGTATCGTGCAGAGTACTTATTAGAACATTGCTTTGGTTCTCTATTACGTGAAGCTAAGCTAACTGTCGAGAACTGCAACCACCCAAAAAACAGCGGAATGCTAGCATCACGTTGGGGATTGAGAGCAAAACATACAATATTTTAATCATGAATGGTTTATCATGAAGGATGCATCGTTCAACAAAAAACAAAAATAAAAAAACCTCGGGCAAATTTCCTCAACATTAAAAACCGAAAGACCCACATTATGGACATGTATAAAGACGCACAGTCGAGTCTTTTTTCAAACGTGATATTGCAACTAAAAGGTTGTTTTACTTTCGAATCTACATTTTCACGTTTTTTTAAAAAACGTGCGTGTTTCATCGTCTTTTCAGTAATTATGCATCCTTTAGAATGTAAATGATCTGAACGTTGTCGCAACAAACCCCTACCTTTTTAACAACCCACCCGGTGCGACTACCTCACAACGTAGGGTTCATTATCTAGCGCTAATCTGAAAAGAGAGTGAACACGTTTTTTGTGTTATCACTGACACTCAAAACATTATCACTGTTGAAATTTTACAGAGTAATTTAAATTTGTTTTGATATGCATACAAAAAGGAAATATTGAACAACACAAGCGGATTTGACATTTTAGAGGGACTATCTCTACACCCCCAAGTTGAAGGTGGAGACTGGGAGACTAAAAAAATTCAGTTACAGCTACAGTGTTAAAGTTATGTAATTATGACTGTCATCAGTGTTAAATACTTGATGAAATTGTGACAAACTGGGCTGCCTCCACTTGAGACAAGCCCCAACAGCTTGCCGAATTGATTATCTAAATTTGAGAGAGATCCGACATTTCAAAACAAAAATATATTTCGTCGTGCTTGCGCAAGAATATTTGACCCTCACTCAGTAAGGTATCCTGACACCCTATTTTTAAATGTATGTGTTTTTCACGCCCCAACGACACAATGTAGATCATAGGACGTAAGCTTTCTACCCTGCCTCTCATGGTTCTTCTGGGATGAGAGAGATACAACTTGTAAACAGAAAAACCTAGATACTTGATGGTTTCGTATTTATGAAAGCATATTTTATTCACATTGGCATAAAACACAATGCATAGTTCCGTATTACGGGATTATCAAATATTTTAGGGTACAAGGTTACAAACGGCATGCGAAGTTGTTTTTTTGATTGGGTAGATGTTTTACGGCACTATCGACACAATACGGCATGTGAGTAAAACTTTCCTCACAAGGTGATTGTTGTGATGTGAAAAAGCATAATATACTTTTACTATGATAATATAGATGTTATGAAGTAAGTACTTCTCTGTTTTTATGAATTTATTATAAAAGGAGGGTTGAGTTGGATCAATAAGTAATTTTTAGCAGTAAATGACCGTATTATTATTCCAGGTAACACATACTTGAATGTAACACTCGAGTAAAAGTAACAATTGCTTAGCCCACAAGCGTTCACAGCAAACACTTTGTAGAAAAATGAAGATAAAACAGACCATATTTTGGCTTAGGGTGGAAAGAAAAGGAGGAGAGGGAGATTTATTATTTAAAGTGACGGTAGACCGAAGACTTCTGTTTACCTCAGGTTTATAAAATAAGTAAAACTTATTTTTTTTAAAAAGGAAACAAGAACAAAAACAAAACAACGCCAGCAATCTGCGTTTTACCACCTTCGATGCGACATCAGTGTACAGAGAATCAGGCAGACATTTCCAACATTGTCTTGATACTTACAATGCTTATTAACATGGGCCACGGTATGTACGTATTTGTGGAGGTATGCATTAACAATTATTTTGGAATCAACGGTTATCAATTTCGCTGAAACACTATTTGCTCTAACACATTTGGGTTCTGCGTTAAAGGTATTCCATACACATCCAAACTTTTCCTTAACCTTTCGGTGACATCTGAATCAATTGCAAAGTCCATGTTGATAACCCAGCTTACCTTTTCGCACTCTGCGTTACTCAATAGATTCATATGCATCTGCAAATGGGATTCCAAATCAGTGTAATCAGACCCATGAAAATCAGAGTTAAAAGCATGGCCGAAAGACACTGGAAACCAGGTTGTAAGAGAGAACATGGTAGCGTTTCTAACATCTCTCTCAGCCTGAACACTAGCGTCCTTGACACATGAAGCACCAAAAGACATGAAGGCTTTCGTTCTGTGGTTGATGACATGTCGTATGTTCTCCTTGACCCTGCGCAAAGGCACGTAATGAACGCACATCCGGCCTTGACGTATCAGTCTGTTCCACGTGACCTCATTTTGGAAAAATTGCTCCATGTCCTCGTGCGTCATTTCGTGGACGTTTCGGAAAACTGAAGGGTCCACTTTTGGAAGATTGTTCCTCAGTAGAAGCATCTGGTACGTTTGCTTATAGGGTAAATATAGGAACAACATTGTAAATGATTAGTAAAACGTGCATCTTAATTATGAAAGCGACTGACGAGACAAAGAAAAGTAATAACAATAATCCTTTTAGTTAAAAATGTCAAAACTAGATAAGAATACTCGACCTGTGTGTGTGTATGCAGTATCATAATATTATTATTATATTTATTATGTATATATTACGTGTGTGTGTGTGTGTGTGTGTGTGTGTGTGTGTGTGTGTGTGTGTGTGTGTGTGTGTGTGTGTGTGTGTGTGTGTGTGTGTGTGTGTGTGTGTGTGTGTGTGTGTGTGTGTGTGCGTGTATCTGTATATGATGAAGACGGAAAGGAGAGGGGTGGGGGTGCGGGGAAAGCGTTGGTATAATTCGCCCTCAACACGGCACAATTGTTACTCTAAATAATACAACGAAATGTATCTCTTAATGTATGTCTTTTCCTCCACTATTGACCCAATTTACCCCATTTAGGAGGCGGAATTCCGACAATGTGTGACACACATCGGGAATGGGAGGGAGGGAAAGGTACACCGCAAAAACGCACATGCATATTAATGTAGTTCCAAAAAAGGGGGGAATGGGGATTGGCGGAGGTACACTTCTAGTGAATATGGGGGCGTGGTGAGATAGGCGACTTGTGAGGTCTGGTTTCGAATGGCTGCTTGCAGTAAGTCCTTGCTCCCTCTGACACCGTTTAGGAATCTACTTCCCACCTTTTGTACTTGGATTTAAGAATAAGCACTGGGAATTAATGTCATGGCTTTTCAGTTATTGAAAGTGTATTCTAGGCTGGATATAAAATACCCTTCTCACCCAAACATCTTAAAACTTTGAAAAACCCAAAGTCCAACAAACCCTTAGAGAGATACAAACGCGTAAAACAAAAAAAACAAAAAATAGTGCCGCACTATGTCAGGAAGCCATCATTCTCCTCAAAGTAGATTTATACCCCCGGGGCTGTGCTACTGACCGAAGTGTCTTTAGGCCATTCCCAAAGGGGGTGACTTTAATATCTTGAGTTCTTATGAACAGTAGAATTGTAATTGTAAGTGGGCTGATTCATCAATGTCATGCTCATGTGTCTGAACTGTGTCAGGGAACTGCTGCCTTTTCTTTAAATCCTTACTATCGTCATTTTTCTTGTACTTTTGTATGCTTGTCACACTCTTGTGACCCGCTATTTCGGGGGTGCCTTGATAGTCGAAGCAGACTTTGTGCTGTTGAAGCTAGAGAGGTGAGCAGAGTAAGTCTGATTCCCTGTAAGGATTTCCTCAGTTGACATCCACCCATAGGCGCTCATAATATGACCTTATGCCGTTGCAAGCGCCGTAAAACCTCGACTAAAACTAAACTTAAAAGTAGATTTAAAATGGAAAGCACGGTGTTCTTACCATATGCACAATTTGTAGAAATCCTTTCTGGCCCGCGGAGCTTTTGTTAAATCGCTCGGCATTCTTTTTCACACAGCACATCAACTCCCACTTGACAGTTCCTACTTTTGCAACTTCTCCCTCAATGGCGTCAGTCAACTTGATTATAATTCCTTGACCTTGGTATTCTTCCTTGACCCTTCCTGCTCTCTTTACCACTGAGTGTCTGTTATCCACAAGATGCCCAGAGCAAAATCCGACCTAAAGATAATATAATGATGTTGCTGGGTTTGTTTTTTTCGTTTGTTGTTT